TTTGGAATGTTTTAGTATATCGGGTTTTGTCGGGTTTTTACTCGCACGCACGTGCTGCATGTAAAATTGGCCAATAAGGAGTATCCCATAGCCCAATGCACGTGAAAATCACGCTGCAGATGTAATTTGACCTTTAGAATCGATTTCCGATGTTTTCCGAGGATGTAAACACACGATGTTTTGGGCGATCTATAGTGTATTTCCAGTTAAAAATATCCCACTGATTTCATTAGTTTTGCAATTTCGTTTTATTGTGAAGAAATGATTTTTGTTGATTTTGATGCTAAATGATTTCTATACTATAAAGTGACAACTATAAAGCATAGGACAGACTTATATGCGCCTTTTCCTTATTATCTATATGTATTTCCTTACTTCAGTGGTTGACAGAAGACCATAAAATAAAGATCAACCCAGGCGAAAAGGAAATTACCGTATACGAGTCAGCGCGCAATGCACCGATACAAAACAATACAACAATATCTACTGTATATACTTATAAGGCCTAAAACCGCTTATATAGTAAGCTAGAAAAAGTTTCATTTAACATATTTCTAATCTCTTCACTTTTAAAAATTATTTCTTTGTGTATAACTCTTCGTCCTTTGGCTTTGTGTAACATTCAATAAAATTTTGTTGTGAAACAATTATTTGTTGTTAGTACATGTTGATTTTGACACCAAATGATTTATATACTAAAATTCCCGATCGGGTTTGAATATTCACTCTGTATATTGAATTGAAACTACACTAGTTATATGCCTATATCACTATGTACATAAAGTATTTGGTTCACAATTCATTGTATACTGCCACATTATACATAAAATGAAGATGGTAAATAGATGTATTGGTAAATACAAAACCTAATGGCAAAAATGCACTAAAGTACTGTATACGGCAATATTAACTTTACATAATCATTCTGGCACCAATTGAACACTAGCAATCACCTTATTTGTTTTATACTACAATAATTTTGAAGTGAACATATATGCTCAAACCCAAAATATGAAAGCAGACACTTATTTTACTAGTGTTGTTGACATTCTTCATTAAAGCAAAGTGCCAAATATGCATGATAACACACACTTACGCACAGTCATCCTGTTTGAAAATTGTGCTGGTTGGCAAATGTTATTGGTTGCAAGGATATATGACACTAGGCACGCTGAACTTAAGCAGCAGCATGCCTTATTAGCTTAGGCACGGTCTGGTGTGACAAAACCGACAGCCACGAAGCCTGCTGAAATAGCCGAAATGTTGAATACTTATTTTGCATCGGTGTTTACAACTGACAACCTACCTGACTAATCTGAAGAATCAAGTACAGACACGCACATGACTGAATTAATTATAAGTGAACATGAAGTTGAACATACGCTTAAAACCCTCGACAGCAACAAAGCAACGGGACCTGATGGAATCGCAGCAAGGCTACTCAAAGTTACTGCCCCCATTATTGCTCCCTCTCTTTGTAAATTATTCAATAAATCATTACGTCTTGGAACAGTTCCAGAAGAATGGAAGCTAGCAAATGTTGTTACCTGTACATAAAAAAGGGGATAAAAGTTTGACCGAAAACCACAGGCCCATCTCATTGTTGAAGTCCTAGAACACAGAGTACTCGTGAGCATCAAAATCACCTATCCCAAATTATAAACAAGTGTCAGCACAGCTTTCTTCAAGGTAAATCGTGTCTCACAAACCTATTGGAAGTACTTGACTATATTGGTAGGATTCTGGACAATGGAGGACAAGTTGATACTATCTATCTCGATATGTCTAAAGCTTTTGATCGGATCAATCACAGAAAACTAATTAACAAATTGAGAAATTACAGCTGTGGAGGTAGCTTGCTGAAATGGTTCTCTTCGTATTTAACCGGTCGTCGTCAGCATGTCACAATATTGATGCTACATCGAACACACTTCCTATATCATCAGGTGCCCTGCAAGGCTCCATCCTTGGACCAGTTCTGTTTTTGTTATGTGTCAACAACCTTCCCCATTCAGTAACAACCAGCAAAGTAGCAATGTTTGCTGATGGTACAAAGCTATTCTCAGCGATCAAATGTCAAAGTGATGCGGTGTTATTCCAAAACGATCTCAGTGACTTAGAACACTGGTCTTCAAAATCGGGTTTGATGTTCAATGAATCGAAGTGTAAACAGCAGCAAATGACAAGGAAGATTACACTGATCACGTCAACTTACATGTAGAACGACCAGCAACTGGATACGACAGACACCGAAAGAGATCTTGGACTTTGTGTATCGTCAAACCTCGCGTGGAAAGTGCAAGTATGCCAACAAGTGTTGAAAGCAGGTAAACTACTGGGCTACATCAGAAGAAACACTATGTTTGTGACAGATATAACACCAAGCCGATCACTGTGCACTGGTTCGCTCTCATTTCGGCTATGGATCACAGATTTGGGCACCGCAGGTGATTGATCTCATGAACATGTTGGAAAGAACTCAGACGCGCAACAAAATTCATTTTAAGGTGGCTCCCTACAGTTATAGTCCAGTTTAAAACATTTATGTAGCTCAGACGTCATCCTCGTGACTCGCGCGTGGAATCTTTATGGCCCGGTAAAAATCTTGAAACAAGCCGCGGGAAGTTGTTTTTGTATTTTTATCTACAAAGAAAACGCCAGTTTTTTATTATATAATCCTAAACTTTTCAACATTCGAACAGTACGTATGTTGTTAGCTAGTTTTTTACCTACCTTCTGTGTGTTTTTTTATATATTTAATACGTTCAGTACTGTATTTCATAATGCTCACAATGTTCAACAACAGTGTCACGGACTGAAATTATATTTTATACTGTCTTCAAGGCACTCCTGAACTGTCAGTGAAACTTACGTAAATCCTGTCATTCAACTCAGTTCACATGTAGTTTTTTTATCTGCTGAATCCAATAAAACTATAATGCAGACAGTTACGAGTTGTTTTATACGAATAGTCAAACTCTACTTGAAAGTTTTGAAAAGTTTTCACACCGATTTTCACAACAAAACTAAATTTAAGAAACGTTGGATTAAGTCAGGGTGTTATTGTGTTCTCAATTTTTCGTATTTTGAACATATATAGACCTATATATATTTTATTTGCCGTTCAAATCAGTAAAAAATATCTGTGTGATACATATAAGCCAAAAAATCAAAGTGCAAATTGCTAAAAAAGTCAACTATAAACCATACACGTTTTGTGTTTCTCACACATTATAATTTACACGCATGCGCAAATAGTGATCATGTCGAATTGATATTTTGTCACGTCAACAGCTTCAACTGGATTTAGGACTATTTTTCTCCAGTTTCCTTTGGGGGAAATTTTTTAAACTTTGCATGTTTGCTAAGCATGACGATTCGCCAAACATATCAAAATTTCAAGAAATTCTATAAGACAGATTTTTTGTAGTCGTTATTCATGAATATCTCAAAACCTGCCTTATAAACATCCCTTCAAATTTTAATATGTCATTCCTCTTTCAACCATAAATCTTAAAAAAAAAAGTTCAGAAAAATTGACCAAAGGAAAAAGAAGATATTGCTGTTTGATTGTAAAATTAGATAATAAAAGTGCAAAAAATGAAACGTCATGGTTACCATGGCAACACTAACACAGTTCCTATTTGTTCATATATCGACAGCAGAAGACTTCTGAACTTTCCTGGAAATGGTTATATTGCCCTGTCTTAAGTGTGTTCAATATAAATTTGATTGAAAATGAAGGTTCCCTAAAATGTTAGAAAACTGTAGGGAGCCACCTTAAATTTGCCATTTTGGCTTGTCTACCAACAATCATTCTTTGTAAGAGCTTGTTGTCTATGGAACAGACTTGTTGATGAACTTCATTTCGACACGGACAGCCTTAACATTTTCAAAAGAATTTTATTAAAATACTATTATCGGTAATTTGAGCTCAATTATGACCCTGATAATCCTCGAACACTTAAACCTATATGTCTTAAATACAACTCTGTGCGTAGTCTTGCATATCCAGCATCTTGCTGTTATTAATACATTAATTTTTTGTAGTACATTATAGAATGTAAGTTTGTTGGTTTGCATGCATACTTGTTTAGTTGTCTAACTGTTAATTTGTCATTGTTTGTTAGATATTATTATTGGGCCCACAGTAATTGGTGTTATGCTGTTGTGGGAACCCTGCCAGAATTTGTAATTTATGTAACAGCAAAGTTATTAAATTAAATTAAAATTAAATTAGGTGAACAAATGAGTACAAAAGCTAATTTCACTCTGCCCAAAGACAACATTTGCAATTCTAATAAGAAGTGAACAAAATTGTAGAATTGATATTCCTCTCCTTTTTCAGCAACTTCTGCCAATCCAAGTTCTGGATGTTCAATATCTCTGACGCACAATAATTGAGTTGGCTTTCATCAAGGTTGTCATACATCTGGTTTCCTCCAGTAAATAGTTGTTAGCAGTAAGCAAGGAAAGTGGAATCCAGTGTAGCAAGGAGGTTGTGTTGAGAAAACCATGCAGTATCAGAGAGGAAGTTAATAGCAATTAACACAGCAATGATGTACATGCGTTACTCCACAATGCTTGGCTATCTATGTTGGACTGACAAAAAGATAAAAGATACTCTTTAACATGGCTAACATTGTTAAACTTAACAATACTATATGGTATAACAGTCTCAATAGAATTCTGTTGCGATATGTGCCATATGCATGTACATGGCTTGCGACGTCCATGAGCTGAACATAAGTTGTTTGGACACATGGGACATTTACCATTAGCAGATCCCTTGCCATACCCTTGTCTTGTATGATGGCATGTTGAGCAATGTGGATATCTCTTAGGTGGTTCTACATTTGCTAGTTAAAGTGGATCCTCCATCATCAGACTCTAAATTATTATCTACAGATAAGCATGAAGTATTAGTGGGCAACTCAGGCCTCAATTGCATAATAGATAAATTAATAGTATTTAGCATATTGACTCATTTCTAGACACTTCTAAGTTGTCACATTCCATTTCATCATCACTGTCATCATCGGTATCTGAGCCTGATACTTGCATTCACTATCATTATCATCACCACTTCCACCATTTACAAAAGAAGTGTTAGCTGCTACTGATAAAGATAAAATAACATCATTTAAATGGTTAGAACAAATTGGACAATAGGCCAGATCTTTCAAGCATTCTTTATGGAAGGAATGCCAGCACCCTTCACATATTTGCCACTCTACATCTTCAGGTGCCACACAGGTATTATCACAGCGACTGTTTACATCTGGCTTTTTGTCACATTGAAAACCCAGTGGCAATATATAGCTCTTGACCGGTTTCTCACTAAATAACGTACGAAGTATGTACATTGTGCAGTCCAGTGCTTGACCTTTAGATCTTGGCAGAGAATATGATTCACCTGGACTTGAGCAAATTTTTGAAAGAATAGAAACTAGAAGTTTAGCTACTCTAGTATGACTAAATACATAGTTTCGTTCTGGAGTAAAAGTGTTGTGAAAATTCTCTTGGCATGGCCCACAACTAAAGATTGCTTTCATGGTATCACTCAGGGTTTTTTCAGATGCACCATCAGTTGTGTGTCTTCGAATAACAGAGTGAACACATTCTACAACTGACTCATCAATAATATTTAAATTATTCTTAAAAACATTAAATATATCAGTACAAAATCTGTTACCTTCCCAGTATTTAACCAGAAATAGCCATATTAAGAGAGATTTCCTATAATGATGTCTAAAACAATGCATCATTACCAATATTCGTATAATATAATAGAGTCATAATAATTAGAGAAGTCGTTAATCTTAAATAGAATATTGTATGAACATAAGACTGTAGGGCAATAATTGTCTAAGAAATTAATTAGTGTACCATACTGTATATGCTTACACTTGTGGAAAACAGCTTTTACACTTCTTCTGATCAAAGTCCATCCTCCATAAAGTATCTCGAGAATGAACTGTATTTATGCCAAGGTTTTGGCTTTGCTGCAAGAATTCTGTTTGGGAATAATGACTCGTACAAAGATTTAATGAATGGGTGGTAATTCAACACTAAATCCTCATCAGCATTTAAATCAATATGTAGAGATCCAATTAATTTAAAGGAACAAGAGAGAATAGCTCTTCTTGTGGCACTGACATGTTCAAGGCTATAAGACATGTTCAAGGCAGATTTGTGTAGGAAAAAAACTGACTGGGGTGGTCACCAGGAAATAATACAACAAATTTAGATAAGTATTCTCGTAACTTTTCTAAATTGAAAACTCTAGTAAGAGCTTCCATGTAATCACTTTTTGACTTCAAAGGCTGCTTGAAGAAGTCAACTAAAAAAAACATTCTTAAATTTCTTCATGTAACTTACGTCAGTTGAAGCACCATAATCATGTGTTTCCAAACGCTTCCTCTCCAATAGTGGGTCGAAGAAGGAAGTTGTCAACTCTGGCATGCAAGAGGTAAAGGTACAGCTTAACTTCATCTGCTTCTCAGAACATATCTCATTAGCAAGATCGTGTGGCTTTACTGGCTTAATTCCAGCTCTCCTGTGTAAGAACCGAGGTGGCGGGCGAGTAATTGCTTTTATTTCTGGAAAAACTTTAAAAATAATAGTACACATATTGTTAGCCTGAGATGTTTTAAGACCATTAGGCCTTCGGGTTGAGTGAATGGTGGTTTAGTAGCAGTAGTTTTCTATTCTTGATGGCATCATCCAAAGCAGAAATAACCTTACTCATATTAGAAGATGAAAAATTATGGAGAGCTCTATCAATAGTCATGCTACAAATACTAGTACAAACAACCCACTGAGTATTCA